CATTCATTGTATAGACTGATACTGGATATCCTATAATTTAAAGAATAATGGTAAGTAAAAAGGAAAAAAAAAATGTTAACCAGGTATTCCAATACTGATGTTGTTCCAATACTTCTTTTTTTTGTAATTTGGACCATTTCTCGATTTATGTGCAGGGGCCATGCTAATTACCCTTCTCTGTATCGTTCCGATTTTAACGGATGTCCCGAAGGACTTCTTTTTTGTTTTTGTTTTTGAATTTGGACCATTTGTCGATTTATGTCATGTGTGTCATCGATGCATCCGTCTCACTTGCTGGGTACTTTGCCTGCGTGCCCGATCGTATGACTGCAGTGGCCGTCCCAGTGGCATCCTGTGCTGCCCCACATTCGGATCTTGCGTGTAAATCAGGTCGATGCCTCTCGATTGGACGTGGAGATGATTGTGATGCTCAAGGAGCAATTGTCTCAGATGTTCTCTCTTTTCCAGGTAATGTTGATTCTCATTACCACTGTTCTTCTGTAGTATGCCTTTTTTCTTTCTCAGTTTTGGTGCCGTACACCCATATGAACTATTGGAATACAGACCCCAATTCTAACCCAGATGCAATAAAAAATTAAAAAATGAACAGAAGATAATAATTGTGAATAACCTGGGGCCTGGCGGACCAATGAATGAAATCTCAAGGCCGTTGCTTTTTTTTTTTGTTTTTTTTTTGCGAAAACGAAGTTGCCTTGCATGTACCACTGAGCCTAGTAGCTCAGTTGGTACACCCATGAACTTTTGAAATACAAGCCCGGGGTTTGAATCCAGGTAACACAGAATAACATACTTCTGAATTACCTGATGAGGCCAGTCAGTTCAAGGATCATATCTCAAGGCTGTCGCTCTTTTCATAGAAAAAAAATAAGAGAAGCAGCCTTGCGTTTTCACTCCATGCAGCTGGCCTATTTCAGACATGTAGCCTTGGGTCAGTCGCTCTCTTGCCCATATGCCCTCGAGAGATAGCACCTGCCACTGCCACTGTACTGCAGTTGTTGTGCGTCTCCACGCCGGCGCTGATGCTTGGCATTCTGCTAATTCAGCCACTGCTAATGCTGACGCCAGAGCTGCTGCCAGTGATGCTGAAACAACCACTGTAGCTTCCTCTGGGCACACCGCTGATGACGCCCCTGCTGTGCAGATGCTGCCACCACTGCTGCTGGTGACATCAGAGCTGCTGCTGCCACTGCAGCTTCCTCTGCTTTCACTGTTTTCACTGTTTTCACTGTTTTCACTGTTTTCACTGTTTTCACCGTTTTCACTGTTTTCACTGCTTTAACTGCGTTTACTGCTGTCAGTGCTGCTGTCATCTGTCCGACGACATCTGTCCCATGATCTCCCAACCCTTTCAGTAGGATTAAGGCCAGCCCCTGGAAGATGGGGCCTGCTGGGCCCAAGTGAAACTTCTCCCGAGGGCGAGAGGCTGCTCGTGGACTGTTGGAATACAAGTGCACAGCTGGGCCCCATGCGGACGAACAGCAGACATGGTCATGGGCCTGAATTGTGATGGAATCGGAAGAAGGGTCGATTATTTTCTTTTTTATGGTTTTGTTTTTGTCGTTTTACTGTCAGTAAACAGGTCACGAGCTGGATGTATAATCAGAGAAATGCAATAATGTTAGGTCCTTTAGGGGCCGTTTTTTTTCTTTTCTTTTTTTCCGCTTTTGTTTTTGTAGTTTTGCGCTCTTTCGTTTTACCGTTAATAAACCGATTACAAGCTCAAATTGTGATGCAGCCAGACCAACACAACAATGTTAGCGTTGCTCATTTTTTTTTGCAGTAAACAGATCACAAGCTTGAATTGTGATGCAGCCAGACCAACACAACAATGCTATGGTTGCTCTTTTTGTTTCCCCCCCCCGCTTTTGTGGTTGTCGTTTTGTGCTGTTCTGTTTTACTGTCCGCAAACAGGTAATAAGCTCGAGTTGTGCAGTACAATAATGGGTCTCGCCACACCACTCCCCAATCCGAGAAAACAATTCAGGAGTGCTCTCACACATCGAAACTCGCTGAATCCCCGTTCGAGAGTGTGCTTTGCCGCACTGGGCTCTCAAACGGGGCGCTCTCAAATTCCAAAATTGGCAGAGGCCACTTCCCGACGAGTGCTGTCTGACGTAAGCCCCTGTCCTGTGCGGTCCACTTGGGAATTTCAAGAGGCGGGCGCCCAGAGGACTCTCGGGCCCGAGAGTACTCTGGAGCCCAGTCCTCTGACAACACTTGTTGAACTCGTTTTTTGCGATTCTAGTTCGGGAGCTTGTATGGCGAAGAGGGAACTGCCGAAAACATCAATTTTGTGAGTGGTATGGCAAAGCTCAATCTGAGGGCTCACCTTTTTCTTGGGGGGGGGGGGGGTTGCTCTGTTCCGTTATCCCCTGTCAAATGCTTTGCAGGGGTGTGCGGCCTCCTGAACTGTGGGGGAATGAAGGGGCTGCTGTTGTTCACATACAAGCACACACGTGGGCCATGTGGATGTGTAAACAGGTCATTAGCTCGAATTGTGATGGCATCAGATGCTAGGGACCACTGCCATTTTTTTTAATTTAAAAAAGAAAGAACAAACAGCTACACAGGGAGGACTTGTAACACATCAGATGCATTGGGGTTCTCTCTAGGGGGCCAAGCTATCTTTGGCTCGCCTTTCTTTGGGGAGGCCCAAAGGAGAAGAGGGGGGGGGGGGGGGAGGGGTATGGGTAGATGGTGTCCTGTAGCCCAACCCACATAACATCACGTACATACCCCACATTGTACCCACTCAGCCCACATAGTATCACCCACCTACCTCACATTGTACCACCCAGCCCACGTAGTACAATCCTGTCCACATAGTATGACCCACCCTGCATAGCCCCTCCTACATACCTCACATTGTACCACCCAGCCCACATAGTATCACCCACCTACCCCGCATTGTACCACCCTGTCCACATAGTATGACCCACCCTACATAGCAGCCCGTAGCCAGACCACCCAGTCAACATGGTACCACTCAACTCACATAGTTTTGCCCGCTCCACATAACACCACCAAGCCCACATAGAACCACCTGGCAGTGCCGTGGTGTTCTGTTTTTCCTTCTTTTTTGTGTTTCGCGAGAACAGAGATTGAGAGGGGGGTGCCACGCACCGTGCCTATGCCAAAAATAAGATCAGACTCTGTCTTCATGATGTTGTGTTTCCTGGATTGTTTTGCTCTGCCTCGGGCCCCACCACCTAGTGCTCTCCCTCTCTCTCTGTCTGTATGTTAGGTCCGACGCTATCTTTTACGATCTGAGCATCCGCCGCTGTGGTAGGGTTGCAGTGCACCTTTTGACTATATGCTTACTAACTGTAGAGCGTGATTGTCCGGAGACGTCGAGCGAGTGACGGGAAGAAGAGGAGAGGAATCACGCCAGACCGTGGGCCAGCTTTCAGTCTAAGTACAGCGCTAATGATTTTGTGAAACTTTGTCCTATTCGGGGGGGGGGGGGGGGGGGGGGGGGGGAGTGGAGACGGTAAGCACCATTTGAAATATCCTGTCTGTTGTGGACAACTGTGGCTGACCGGCAGAAGTGATGCAGCGACCAGCTTGTTTGGTCTTCTCAGTTTCTGTCTCTGTGGCTGATGCAGCACAGTTCTATGAGCAGCCATTTTTATTGATAATAAATTAATAATATCTTTGTCCAAAGGAGTGGTAAGTGGGGAGTTTGTTCCATTTCAAAAAAGGGTCTCAATTCTTATCTGAAGAGCTTAAAGTGGAGCTTAATTAGCAGTTTGCGAAGCAGAAAAAAGTCATAATGGGATATCTCTCACAAATACCCACATTCATGCCGGGGAAATGGAAGGCACAAAATCACGTGTCCTGGGTTTAGGCGCGAAGCGCACGTCTACGGTGCAGCCAGCAGGGCAATGGATTGTGATTTGTAAGTAAACAATAAGCACGCAACTCTTGACACATTGGTCGACCGACTAAGGGCATACTCACACCAGGACTAGTTTTGGCATATTTCTGGACGGAATTGCAGCCAGACACATCGAGGTATGGCCGTGAAAACGATGAGATACGTTTCAGGTACCGCTAGTGTGCGTACACCTTATGATGCCTTGCTTCCTTCAGTTAAAATAACATCAGAAAGGACCCAGCCCATGTGGCTGAATGGTACACACTTTTATCTTTTGATAAACCGATCGTATGATCGAATCCTGATGGAATGAGGTCGGTGCAATAAGGTTAGGGGTTACCTCTTCCTTTTTGAGAAAAATGGACAGCAGCACAGGGTGCATTGCTTGGTGAGCAGCATGTGGCCCATCATATGCTCTCTCAACTTGACTGCTTGCTCTCTCCTTCGGCTTCCTCCTCTTCTTCTCCCCCTCCCTCCCTCCCTCCCCCCCGCCCCCCTCCTCCCCCCCCGGACCCCCTCTCCTTCTGCTTCCTGTTTCCGGTGGATTGAGAGTTTTACTTTGTCAAAAAGAGTTTTACTTTGACGGTTTGACCCTATCTCGCTCATTTCTGTAGTCTTGATAATGACTCGGAAAACAGTGGAATGTTGTACTGATGTGTGTCTATTTTGCAGGCGGGATTCTTAGCCCCGTATGAGCCAGAACTGATGGCTTTTTTGGAGTTCTTGGTGATCGGCGTGCCAATTTGGATGGACCGTCCAACGCCGGGCAATGCTCTAATGAACCTTCGGTATCGAAATGAGCGTGCATTTTCTTCTTTATCGCCTTCTGAAGGTAATTTGTGTGAAGTTGTGAACCTCTTTCCTTTCGTTTTTTTTTTTCTGTTTTCGTTTTTAAAGCCACTTCATATGTCTTATGTAATATGTATGCGTGTCATTCTTGCGCAGGGGCCATGATAATCATCTGTGTATGGTCCTGATTTTTGCAGATGGCCCAAAGGACTCATTTATGATTTCTCCATTTTTTTTTATAATCTTTTAATAAGAAATGTGGACCATTTCTTGGCTTATGCGTGTCATCCTTGCACAGGGGCCATGCAATCTTTCTCTCTCTGTATCGTTCCAATGTTAACGGATGTCCCGAAGGACCTCATTCGGAGTCATTCCTGTGTTTCTAATCGTTTCTCGTATGCTATTTGTTTTTGTTCTTGTTTAGAGTTAAGGGCATACAATTTGCACCGGGCGTGCAAAATCGTGGAATTGCAGAATCAGGGCCTGATCGAGCCGTTCTTAAAAAAATGACTCTCATTTTGTGATTCTGCTATTCGGAGAGCCTAGTGTGAGTATACCCTAAACTTTCTAAGGGGACATGGGGCACCCATCTACAAGTTTTGATAAACCCTAAGGGTACATGGGGCACCCATCTATAAGTTTTGATAAGCTAGTCAACATACAGGTTAAGCCCTGATGCTTAAGCCACCACTACGTCTGACTGCGTCTGAGGCTGTTTTTCCGGACCCGAACTGTGCTGCACGAAAAAAAATAGAAGAGGACTGGTGCAAGGCACTGCACGCACATTTCCCCCCCCCTTTTTGGCTGTCAACGCCAGCCATTGTGGTCCAGTAGCTTGGAATGCCCCAAGTTGTGGCTAATAATATGTTTCTACCCCCAGCTATTTGTTTTTCCTGCGGTGCGAAGCGGTTGTTTATAAATGCAGAGAGGATGAATGCATCCGTCGGGACAGGCGATCAGCGCGGAAGCTATATGTCTACTCACATGTATCAGCGCACGCAACACCACCATATCGAAACATTGTGAGAGGTGCCTCTCTGTGGCATACTGCGTAGCCACACGGGCCTGCAGGGCCCGTCCCGCATTCTCAGCCTAAAAGCCTAGAAATAAGGGCTTACAGGCCCCATGTCGTTTCAGCCTGAAAACTGAAAACGAGGGCCTGCAGGCCGTATTTCGTTTTCAGCCTAAAACAGGGCTTTTCAGCCCTGAGTCTTTTCAGCCTGAAACGGAGGGCCACTTTCGGGCCCTCATAAGATCGTCCTGCCCTAGAACTCAGGCAACAAACCAGGGTTTCGGGAACAGACTATTTTTGGCCTGTTCCCCACGCCAGCCTCAGCAGGAGCGGCAGCGCCAGCCCCTGGCTTGCCCTGGCATTGGCAAGAGCAGCCTCCTGGACTGTCTCGCCCTAAAGTCAGGAGGCAGGCCGAGTAGTACATAGGGAGTTCCCATGCACTTCACGGGCAGGTAGTTGGACAGAAGGCAGGAGGCAGTCTTCAGGATTCGGCAGCAGCACTCTGGAGGAGCGCTGCACGAGTAGCTTAGCGCTAGCAGTAGTCTTCAGCGCTGGGCGCTAGTAGCTGCAGTAGTAGTCTTCAGCGCAGGGCGCTAAGTAGTGGTAGTGGTAGTAGTGTTGGAGAGAGATGGCTGGCGGAGGCCAGCGAGACTTGCCTGTGGCGCCATAGCTCCAGCTCCATCTTTGAGGTACCTGCATCAAGGCGCCAGCTTCACAGGTTAGTACTGGACAGAGAGAGGGAGAGAGTTCTTCTTCTTCCTCTTCTAAGTCCACCATCTCTTCTTCACTCTCTCCCACCTGACTTCTCAGTATCAGCAGACTACGACAGAGAGAGAGAGAGAGAGTTGTGACTTGAGACTTGACGACATTGGATCCAGACTCGACATTGGGATTCAGACATTTTGACGAGGGACTATTTGGGCTTGTACCGAAGACTTGGTGTTGACGACATTCCCATCTTCCCCTCTTCTTCGTCTAACCCCCCTCTTCTTCGTCTGTGTATGGTTGGGGACTGGCGCAGTCCTCCTGTGATGATGATGATGTATGTTCACACCATGGAGTGATGATGATGATGTATGTTCGGGGCTGCATTGCAATATTGATTGTTCAGATCATTGGTATCTAAGTCTTCCGCTACGCTATCTTGTACTTTGTGAGAGAGGTCGGTTCTTGTTCTGGTCTGCACCGTTACAGTATGCAACAGTTTGGTATCGGAGCGGACCTCTCATTCAGAGGACCCACTCAATCAAGTAGCCAGCTTGCTTGATCTATTGATTACTCATTAGTAAATCAAGTAGGACTTCGTCAAATCTCTGAAAATTTCTCGCAACAAATATCTGAAAATTTCTGATAATCGCATTTCGTTTTACCTGAAATTTCTGATATTAGTATTTGGTTTTCACGCAACAAATATCTGAAAATTTCTGATAATCGCATTTTGTTTTATCTGAAAATTCCTGATAGTAGCATTTCGTTTCTCTGATATTTGCATACATAGCTGAAAATTTCTGATGTTAACATTTCGTTTTCTAGGCATATTAGGATAACGATAGAAATGGTCATATTCTCGGAAACCGAATTTATTCTTTTCTGAAAATCGAATCTCCATTCTATCTCGCAAATTTTTTTTTTTGAAAATCGAAATTTTGTGAAGCCTACCAGCATTTCGTTAGGCATATTAGGAGGTTGCCATATTCTCAGAAACTGGATTTAGTTCTTTTCCTAGGCTGCACCGGCACCCGGCCGGTTGGGCCCGGGGGGGTCCGCCCGGGTGAGCCGGGCGACGCAAAAACAGGGCCAGGATTTTTTTATTTTTTTTTCTGATGGTGGGGCTGTGCTGCGCTGCACTAGAGGACCCTGAATCCGCAATAAAAAA